GAGAACATGCAAACTCCACACAGATAGTGCCCCAGGTTCTGAACTTAGCCCAGGGCTCCAGTGCTGTAAGGCAGCAAATGCTAACCACTCATCCGCCATGCCATCCCTCCACAATTCACCATGCAAATTAAATTAAGGCAAAAAAAAAACTGGCACTGACTTGTACAAGTACCATAGGTGGTAAAACCCGATACAGATCACACTGTTATGCAAAGGAAGTTTGATTTGTATCCCTGCCAAACTCCAAGGTGCACTGTCCCATGGCTTTGCTATGGATATAACAAACAAGGTGGTGCAATACTTCCCTTCAGACACACTAACCACAGAGAATGGGAGCAACGCATGGCTCAGGTATTTTACCTGCCCCATTGTTACTGCCTTCATCTTCAAACAAGCACTTAAGCAACATACAAGATTAGGTTTCAAGAAACTATGCCTCGACGTCTGTCCTAGCCTGACATTACTTTTATTAATATTAACTAAATTATTAATTAAAGACTTGTGTATCCACAAGCTGATCAACAGACAAGCACTGACTGAAGAGCAGCCAAATCAAACAGGTCCCGAGCGGCACAAACTACAGAGAAATGAAACGACTAACTGCCACAGTAGACTCACACAACTCTCATGAAAGGGTGGAGGTGTCTATCATGGCAATTAGTGGTAATAAAGGGCAAAATTGGCAACTGATACGCACAGAGGGCATACTGGTTTTACAGCTGCTCATTCACTCAGTCAATAGTCCATTCTTTGGAATTCATTCATTGTTTTTTCCTGTTGGGTTTTTACACCAAGGAGGCACTAAAGTTCACCGCTGTGTAGAGAGGTCTAGTGGAAAACTTCCTTCCATTTCACCCGCTGTCCAATATTATACATGTGCCTAGTACTGTTACAGAAGAACCAGATAATGGCTATTAATGTTCAAATGGACTGCAACAAAAGAACAGCAGTACTGGAGTACTGCAATCAGACTCCCGCTGCACAGACGTTTGATCCACTGCAGGTTTTACCAGATGCTGGTGGTTCTATATAGATGCCAATAGCAGGTGCTTGACACTGCATGCTAGTAACAATATTTTGAGAAACTCTGCATAAATAAATGTCATTTAATTTTCTGCATAAACAGTATAATTACAAGAGCTTACAGCTAGTACAGCTTGAAATGGATCAATCTGCTGCTCAATGGGAGGTTCCTTTCCAGCCCTGAAGTGTCTCAGAAACGGTTCTAATCCAATGTGTCAGCAACACAGCCAATAAATCAGCAGAACCAAAATGTAACAGACACCCAACTGATAAAATCCACCAAAAAATTAGAAACTACTTTCCTCGGACCCAAGGGCTTTTAAAAGCAGAATTACTCCAGCATGGTGTGCAAATCTAAAAACCACCTGAGTCAAGCTACCTCTGTCATGAGATCTGCAGTACACAGACAATTTTATAAATTTGGCAAGACTTAGCTTAATACAGAACATCAATCTAGAACAGTCAAGGGCTCCTCAGCACTTCAAGCTTACTCCTTCCCCTCACAACAGCCACTCTGGTCAATCTAAATTAACTTTTGAAAAGATGAAACTGCAAATCAACAGATCCACTCAAGGATTTGTCAGAGCTGACTGCCTTTGAACTTCAGCGTCACACACTGCTAGCTCTGTGGTGAAAAGATCCAAGTCCTGTACCAGGGTTCTGGGGACCACCTCAGAGGGCCCCTTCGGGTCAGTAAAAACCTGCCAGGGGAAGCAGCCTACACGGTCTTACCCCAGGTATTCAAGTAAGCAGTACACAGGTAAGCATATGGAGCTGGCTTTGTGAAATGGTTTAAAACAGCTCTTTCATACCATGTACAGTAACTGTGTGGCAGACTTAATCAACAGTACTTACCACTGTCAACAATCAACCTTTAGCAAGGCTTTCAATGTCTACCGATTTCAGCCCCCTTAAGCGTGTTTTCAACTCCGTAGAAAGGAGAAACTCAAGCCATTCTCACCTATGCCTTGTAATGGGCCCTATGTAAGCTTCTTACCATTTCAGGAGAGAAAAACATCCCCTTAATAAGCATGGCAAAGGACAAACAGCTTTCTGTGTTACATGGAGAAAAGATCAGATTTGCTACCTATCTTCGTGACCCCTACATGAACTCCCCCCCCCGGCATCTCTGACCTCCCACTGACCCCCAGTTTCAGCAAGAGCACCACGCAATAGGGATTTTCAGCTCACACCGATATCTGCTCACTGAATGGAACTGCCGAACACGTGTCTAGAGGAGGTCAAAAACGCACTTTAACAGATGCTAGAATCTCAGCATCAATTTAGTTATAAGCGACACCTTACAGGGATGAATGAACAAAAGCTGCGACCAGGACAATAACACTTTCTCAATATATGCCATCAGAGATACAAACACACTATACCCAGGCACAACACTGTAAAAGTACTTAAGGTAAACAAGGCTAGTGATGAAGACATTAGAGCACCAGGAAAATTACTATGGGTGGTAACCAATGCACACTGACAGAAGCTGACTGGGAGCCGACTACTGAGCTAACACCCTAGTCTGAGACTGGCATAGAGATATAAGTCTAGAGTTGTGCAAAGTCAGCTTCTCTGGCGAAGCCACAATGACTTGTTTGGTGGGCTTCACAAACACCACTTTTAAGCAAACTGACACACGGGGTCAAGAAAAGCTCTGGACCTTGAAGAATGCTTCGACAACTTCAGATGGTTGAAGTAGTATCCCTGAGTGAGTGAAGTAGTATCCCTCCTCCCACCACACAAGCTGACTAAAAAAGGAAGGAGGGTGCACGTCCTGTTTTTAAAGTCTTTGGTCCTCACTGTCAGTATTTAAATTCTTGTGCCCTACACATGGGAGTTAACAGGACACACTAATCACTAGCACAACATATCGATAGAATTACTGTCAACTATCAACTTGAGACTGCTACAATGTTAAAAAATGTTTTAGTCTATGATGACTGAGATCACCTGATCCAGCACAGGATGTTTCACTGAATTGGTTGTTACATTATACAATGACCCCTGCTGCCAAAAACGAACACACATCCAGGAAACTGAAGCATGACAGCAGAAAGCTTGAGAGAATGGCCAAAGCAGACCAGCTACAACTACCAAGCTCATAAGAAACGGAGCTCATCTCAGATAATCTCTGCTGGGCCTTACCTAGTGTGAGCTGCCTCATGAGAGGACATCTTCTGCTTTGCCTGGCACAAGAGTAGTAATTTGGCACAGCAGACTTAAATTGGCATGGTGTCAACAATACCCATTGTTCTCAACAGCAACATGAATTTTCACTTGCCTCAAGCAGAGCGATACCGAGATACAATAGCACAAGATCAGACAGTTGCAATCGGCCTGCAAAATTTAAACATTTAGTGTTTGACAACACAATTCGGTATCTGCAGCTACTGTACTGTAGAAATCAGACAAAGTAATAGCATCCAGGAGCATTCTGTGAGCTTAACAACACAACCTGCCATCTAACACACAGCCAAGTGAGCCCTCAATGCAGTAATTCACAAAGGGTAACTTAGAGGCACCGGAAACCAGCACCACCTCGGAACACCAGCATCTTTGTCACAAGGGTAAACAAGTCCTCTACAAGGCTACAACCACAGCCAGAACCACAGAGGGTGAATCTTTGTGGAAAAAAATACAGAGCCCAGGACATTGGAACACCTGCAATTCTTCCTCATACCTCATCCTGACAAGCAACTAGATGCCTCAATGTTCATCCCACCTGAGCTCTTAATTATACAAATGAGGCTAATGATTGACATTATTTAATTTCAGGGTACCCAACACATTCATCCCAATTTGTCAAGTCATATGTCCCAAAGACACTACCAAGTTTGCAAAAATGTATTTTTCACAAAGCTTCCTAGTGGCAAACCTCACTTCGGTCTCCTTTTTCAAAACGAGAATGAGAATGTTCAAAAAATATGAAACTGACCACACTGAAACTAGCATAGTCAAAACAGTCCGTGTTTAAGGGCCAGCCAGGCCTGGCCCTGAAGCGTCAGACAGTTTCTAGGCTTCTTCAAAGCAAATGTGCCTGAAGAATCAGCAGCCTTTAAGACATGAGGAATGAACACCTGACATATCAGACCTCAAGGACCAGAACTGAACAGACCCTGGCATTTCCAAGTTGCTAATCACTGAGGATTTTACAGTTTTTATATAAAAAGTAATGGAATCAATACCGTCCAAGATAACGTGCTGCTCTGCAACACAGAGGTCGGCTGAATACAGGTTTGCATCTGTTTCTGGCAGCATTTGGGGTCCTTCACAGCAAACCTACTGTGCAGAAGGTTTATAAGTTCACAAATCTGCAGATTAGAAAGCCAGTATTTTCCTGATTCCGGATCAAACTGCAATCCAAATGATTTAACTTGCTTTTTAGGACACCGTTTTCACTGCTCACACAAACTGCAAAACTAGTTGCAATACCTGAAAGGAGACTATTTGCTGGAGATGTTTTGCTCCCACCTAGTGGAAGCATCATCATAGAATTGAGGGAGGTGAAAAGAACCTTCTATTTAACCAAATCCCAGGACCACGCTATGGGACTTTGTGAAGCTTCCCACCAATCCTACAGGCCAGGAGTTCATCTCTCTTCAGGTGAATCTGGCAAGATTCACAGACACTTGTCAAGATATTAATGCACAACCAGCCAGACCTGTTAAAAGTGTCCAGCTCCTCCCACATACTGCGTCACCTGGGACACTTCTGCCCGGGCCACACTGTGAACAGCTTTGAGACCTCACTACCCTTTCTCTTCAGTGCTCACATCTACAAGTGATTCCAGAAATCAGAGTTACATTGAATTTTTGTACTCTATTGCTGTGCTCAGCTGGAAAACATGTCCAACAATTCTCTGAAATCCTAACATGAGCACAGCCCAAGATTACACTGCACACTTTCACACAGGCAACCTCCCCTCATCCACTATCCCTCAGTCAGAGTTTTCCTCCAGCCTAGCCACTTGCCCTGCTAGAGGGGACTCCTCCATTCTTCAACAGCATCTGCAAGCAGAAAGGGCTCTTCGTTACTGCACTGCACCACACTATAAATAAGATGAACAGCAGGAGACAATTTCAGGACCTGGACTGGCTCTTGCGATAGGGTCTGGTCTGGCAACAGGGATCAAGTTGACCCTGAAACAGAATCAGAAAGGAGGCCCTGTCCAAGCAGAACTCTGTACTCCACAGGGCACAGTGGTGTATAGTTGTCTTGAGACATCTTCTTCATTTGATAACTTAATCAACTAAAGAGCTTAAAACGGAATACAATTTAGACCAGGTATAGCGCTTTGAAATTTTCTGAAGATATACTAGGAAAACTGATCTGAGTCCAGGTGCACAGCAGTTTGATCCATTTCATTTGTCACTGACAGTGAACCATAATGCAGTCTTGCAGTCATGTTTCACTAGTCTTTTTATGTTATTGTGTTAGTATACTTAATGTGCCTGTGGTTGGTTAACCTTGAATTAGATGTAAATACTGTGCAATGGAAGTCTAAATACTTTAAATAACCGCCTACACTTATATAGTGCTTTTCTGGACACTCCATTCAAAGCTCCCCTCCACCACCACCAATGTGCAGCACAAAGCTAAATGATGCTCCAGTACGCTCACCACACATCAGCTATCAGTGTGGAGGAGAACAGAGTGATGAAGCCAGTTCAGAGGTGGGAATTTGGCTAAGACACTGTGTAAGTAACACCCCTACTCTTTTTGAGAAAAACCTTGGGACTTGTAATGACCACAGAGAGTGGGGACCTCTGTTTCCCGGCACCTTTTTGACACAATCGTTTGCAGAGAGGCACTCCGGCACACAGCAGGCTCTTACCTTGTCCTTCTCGTGGGGCAGCAGGCGGACAGGGGGCAGGGAAGCCAGCGAGTCTACAGGGGGTACCTCGGTTTGAGAGGCCACGCCACGCCCACTCAGCTGGTACATCGGCCCCTGCTTGAGCAGCCGGCCGTGAGCCAGGGCACGCTTCACGGCCAGCCGCAGCTGCTGGTGGAACAGGGCCGCCGAGGAGCCCGCGCTGTTAATGGAGGCGGCTACATCGCGCTGGCCCTTCAAATAACGCTCAATGCTTTTCAGAGAGGAGCCGCCGGGCTCCTGCAGCCCCTCCAGCGCCCGTTTGATGAGTTTATTCCAGTCAAACCCCGACGCCTTGGGCGGGCTAGCACTATTGTTCCGAGGTTTGGGGAAGGCCAGCCTGCCGGGGTTGTCGGGGTCCTTGTAGGAGTTCAGGCCCTTGTTAGAGACCTTCAGGATGGAGCCATCCTTGACACTGAGCTCCAGCTGCTCCAGGACCGTCTTGCGGTCCAGCCCATGGGACATGGAGACCGCATTGCAGATTCGCTCCTCAGATGGGCGCTGCTTCTGCTTCTTCACCTTCTTGATGGCCTCCAAGATCCAGTCAGTGTACAGCGGGTTAGCCAGCTTCACCATGGCTGACGCTCGGCTGCGGCGGCGGCCAGACGACACGCCCATCCAGGAACCGCCCGCCCTGTGCCCTCCTCGCCCGAGCCGAGCCCCCTCCTCCTCCTCCTCCTCCTCCTCCCTCCTACGCCCTCCTCCGCCGGCTATCCTTTATCCCGATGCCGTGCGGAGAGTCCCTCAGAGCCAGAGCACGAGCAGCGGCAGACTGGCAGGGAGCAGCTGACCATAGCATAGGCGTGCCACCCAGCCCCCCCCCACCCCCCCGGTCTGCGTCTCCGTGGCAACCCCCACTCCCTCTTGGAGCGGGGTAAAAGTTACCTTCTTTAAGAAGAAGGCCAAACCAAAAACAGAGGGAAAGGATGGTATCCGTGACGCTTTTCTCCGGGTTTGCTCAGCTACTGTTCTTTTAATAATCCACAACAGGGCGGAACAAAACTAGGCAAGATGCCACAAAGGCCAAAAGAACAAAAAAAAAAAGCTGCAGTTATCTTGTCACAGTTTTTGTAGTGTTTTCCACAAAGGATTTTTCCTCATCTCTCGCCCAACCCGACTCCAATTTTTCTTTCCATTAGTGTTTCAATGAAGGCCGGAAAATGAAGAAAGGTCTTTAAAACAATAAATAAAAACAGCCCCAGCAGGGAAGCGGGATTTGTCCTCCACGAGCGCCTCTGCGTGCTCCTCTCCCGCGGCGTGGTTCTGCTCCAGGTGACAGCGTGGAAGCTTGCGGTGGCGGCTCCGGCGATACGGAGATCTCACCCCAGGGACCAGCACTGCCCGATCACCTTCATGCCGCCTGCGCCTCAGCGGCGCGCACACCCTGCGGAGAGGACACGGAGCAGCGGTTAGGCACGAGGAAACACGGACACGCTGCGCTTCAGCCCGTACCGGCTAATTCCACAAGCACCGCCACAACGCAAGGGTTGCAGAGAGCACCATGAGAAGCCTACAAATAAATGCCAGAAATGGAAATGCACAGTACAAGCAAAACACCCCAGTCCGTAAAACACCCATTCTTAAAACAAATTAAATATCAAACTTCTCTCCCCTGCGACTGCTTTGTTCAGAATGTGAAACAGATCACCTGATGGCTGGTCTCAAGCAGGCGATGTAAGCTAATACGCACTGTTTCCATACAGGAGACGAAGACAGCAAGCTTGCACACGCCAGCATCTCACCTCCGTTCAATTCCCAGACCAATCCATAGAGAGCAGGAAACTGACCAGTCTACTGCCCACCAGCTTAACTCATTCGGGGCTTTATCGCCTAAACCCCAGGCCAGATAAGTGCGCCTCATGAGGTTATTTTGAATTTGGATAGACATGCATGAATTCACATTAAACACACTGCTTTGCTGTTTCAAGAGCACAGTCTTCAGACCGTTGCTTGATTGAACTGCTGTGCAAAGAGCTGTGCAAAGAGAGGGGCATCCCCTGGCACGGTGTGGGCTGGTTTGTCCGAAACAAAATCTGGGCTTTTATTTTCCCAACTTTTGTGATCTCCCGACTTCTTCGGAATGGTTCAATCACACACGAATAGGCACGCTACCACTGGAAACATGCACCGCCCTGCCACATCACAAGAATCAGTCTTCACTTACGAACATAACAAACAAACCCCAAGCATAAAACAAAGCAGAAAAAAAACAAAAAGCAGTAGCCAGCAATGGGTCTGAAAATCATAAAGGAGGCAGGACATTCTATAAGCAAAGTAGTACCGTGATGAAAAAAAGGGACAACAGCTCTCTGGGGCACGTCCATTTTTTGAATGCACCATAAAACTGGAGCCGGTCATGTGCTCGTAGGTCACGTGCACGCAGCAGTACACCTGTCCCTTGGTGCTGTGCCACCCTCCAGCTTGCTCAGCTGTCTCAGCTCAGCCCATTACAGTTTCATTTGCCTCTCAGCAGGAAGTCTGCTTACCCTGGCACACGCTTCTCAGGCACGGGCTCCAGTCATTCACCGGATTTCTGAGGTCTGTCCGGACTTCTTATGTCAGGTTATCTTCCTGCAGGTTTATTTTGAAACCTCATTATTATTTGATTGCCTTATCTTTACTATTCATCTACCACACTCTTTTCCAGCACTGGTATTGTACAGTAAAAAAAAAACCTATCACTGTAATGCTCTGTAGTTACTGTCCTGCTCCATTTTTAAAATGGGTCTTAACCGATACGGCTTTACCGTCTTGCAAGAGGTCACCACACATGAATGTTGACTGTTCTCCTGCTCTCTAACGAGACCGCTAAGCTAAAATAACCTCTATAAGAAAATATTCTGCTTGTACAACCTTGCAAATCTCTTTTGCAGCCTAGTGGTTTCGTTTACAGTCCATCTCGTAAGAAGAACACCAAAAGTCAAAAACAATCACTGTCCACGACCAAGACCTATGCCTGGAAATGAGGATGATCTGAAGCAAAGCCAAGCGGCGATCGTCTGCACTGAGTTTAAAACTACACAGGTCAGCAAATCGGAGCGAAAAATGGAAAGAAAGCAGTCGAACCCACCAGCCCTGAGCAGAAATGCGACTAGGACAGGCTTGCTGACATCACTTCACTTTCTCCTGAGAGCTGCCACGCGTGTCGTTTCGGATCCGAAGTTTCTCAGTGTCCCAACGTGCGCACTGTTTACATCGCTGAAGTCAAACAGGCGGCAGGACTTCGGAAATTACCTACGTCCTAACAGATAAACAGCTGTCGCCCGACGAAACGTTTCCCGATTTGACGGTCTCTTCCTCGACCAAGCTTAAAACGTAACTAAAAGCCAGCCAGGCTGATGCAAAATAACGATTTCGCCCCCCGTATCCCCAAGTACATCCTAAAAGATAAAGACAGGAAGTATCTCCGCCAAAGCCTCCGTCCTGAAAACACAACTTCGCCAACTCCGGGTGAAAATGTCAACAAAGGGCTCGGACGCGGTACGTGCCTCCATCTGAAACATCAACAGTCTGGATACAAAAACACGGGTTTTCACTCCTCTCCCCTTCTGCTACAAAACACACGTACAACCGCTCTGTTTACAAATGCCTAGTGCCGAAATCCTCACCGGCAGTTCCTGCAGTCATCCCTTTTCTTTTAAAAGGAAAGTACACCCCGGTACAATTATACATCTGAAGAAATCCGGGCAACGGCGAAATTGAAATTAAATACCATAAAATCCCCCTCGCCACACATCCACAATGACGCGATTCCCGCACCGCCTCGGGTTTAGCGCAGCGACAACAAAAACGGCTCGGGCGAACAGCCGCTCTAAACGAGGCCGAAGCGTCCACTGCGAGCCCGAGGCTGCACGGCCTACCTCCCCTGTATCCCGGGCTCAGCCCGCGGCTGGACAGCAAGCTCCGCTCCCCAGCAACAGAGGGACGAGACAGACGAGTAGGCCGTGCGTCCCTCCCGTCTCAGCCTCGGCCAGGAGTTGGCGCTTCCCTGCGCTCAACCCCCCTCCCTCTCACTCCTCCTCCCTCCCTCTCCTCGCAGTGCCCACGATACGGCGGCGAGAAGGCCGCTGGAGCAGAGGTAGGCCTCGCTTCCCTCGCCATCACCCCCCTCCTCCTCCTCCTCCTTCTCCTCCTCTCTCTCCCTCTCTTCTCTCGGTTCTCAGAAACCCAGGACGGGTCCGGGTCGAGTTGTTAAAAAAGGGTAACCCCCTCCCCCCCGGAACCCCCTTCGTGGAAACCGGCTGAGCTGCCTCCGAGCTACTCACCGGGTTTTCGGGTCGAGTTGCCGGGAAGAACGTGCCGAGAACGTGTCAAAGCGGAGACAACAACAACACCAAAAATGCAGGCAGAGACCAGTGGCTCCAATGCCGCCGCCATCTTTGAGTGAAACGGGAGCTCGGTTGGTGGGGGAGGGGGGAGAGAGCGGGGCCAAGGGAGCGTCTGCATTGTGTACACCCTATACATGAGAGGAGAGCGGGAGGGAAGGCGAAAAAGAGAGAGAGGGAGAGGATGAGTGAAGGGTGGATGTCTGTGAGGGGGGGCAGCAATTTGGGAAGGACAGGCAGAGTCTCCGTTTACACATGAAATGGGAGAAGAGAGATGTGGAGAAAGCGCAGTCTCTCTCACTCGCAGATCGGAATGATGGCTTTAGGGAGCGTCTGTAATCGTGCGGTTCAGTAGCTACCCACAACAGGATACAAAAACGAAGAAAAAATCAAAGCAGTGAATCGTAGCTCTCATGTAGAGGGTATTTAAAGATCAAAGACATAGCATCGCTTTTACTCCTCCCCAGCTCTGCATTGCATTTAAATTTACCCCCCGCTCCTGTGTTACAGAAAGCGACTGTAACTTTTAATAATATTAGAACGTTTCAAGAGGCAGGCGAGGATGTCCCCTGTCATCACGGACTGATGACAGCCCCTGTAACACACACACACACAGCGCCCTTGCCGGACACAAGACGAGGTCACTCACACAGCCCCCCGCTCGGTCCATCCGCGTTTACATTTACACGGGGGGAAGTACAAGCTACCACTTGACCGGTCATTTTCACCTTCGCAATTGCACTACTGTTGACCCGGGGGCGGAGAGATCCTTCGGTCATTACCGTACGCTAAGCGATCTGTAAATCCATCAGTTATTTCCTATAGCGTCCTTCACAACCGTTTACCAGGGAGCGCTTTAGACCATGTGGGCATGGAGGAGAGAGAATCTCAAAGGTGAATACAGTGATACAGCTCTATGACACTGAGTTAGTGGGACATTAATCACGATTGATCAAGGACAGTCTGTGATATCTGTGGGGATTTAACCCTGCTATGAAATACACTGTACAGTAATACAGAACGATGATATTGAGCTCGTGAGACATTAATTATGATCAGTCTGTGATTTCATTGTGAAATAAACCATGATATTGTAGAAATACAGAACTATGACACTGAGTTATTGGGACATTAAATACGATTGATCAAGAACATTCTGTGATTTCTGTGGTGATTTAAACCTAATATTACATTCAATAATACAGAACTATTAATTATGATTGATCAAGGACAGTCTGTGATATCTATGAGGATTTAACCTTGCTATGAAATACACTGCTATGAAATACACTTTACAGAACGATGATATTGAGCTCGTGAGACATTAATTATGATCAGTCTGTGATTTCATTGTGAAATAAACCGTGATATTGTAGGAATACAGAACTATGACACTGAGTTATTGGGACATTAATTATGATTGATCAAGAACAGTCTGTGATTTCCATGGTGATTTAAACCTAATATTACATTCAATAATACAGAACTATTAATTGTGATTGATCAAGGACAGTCTGTGATATCTGTGGGGATTTAACCCTGCTATGAAATACACTGTACAGAACTATGATATTGAGCTCGTGAGACATTAATTATGATCAGTTTTTTATTTCAGTGTGGAATAAACCATGATATTGTAGAAATACAGAACTATGACACTGAGTACGTGGGACATTAATTATGATTGATCAAGAACAGTCTGTGATTTATGTGGTGATTTAAACCTAATATTACATTCAATAATACAGAACTATTAATTATGATTGATCAAGGACAGTCTGTGATATCTGTGGGTATTTAACCCTGCTATGAAATACACTGTACAGTAATACAGAACTATGATATTGAGTTTGTGAGACATTAATTATGATCAGTTTGTGATTTCAATGTGGAATAAACCATGATATTGTAGAAATACAGAACTATGACACTGAGTTATTGGGACATTAATTACCATTGATCAAGAACAGTCTGTGATTTCCGTGGTGATTTAAACCTAATATTACATTCAATAATACAGAACTATTAATTGTGATTGATCAAGGACAGTCTGTGATATCTGTGGGGATTTAACCCTGCTATGAAATACACTGTACAGTAATACAGAACTATGATATTGAGCTTGTGAGACATTAATTATGATCAGTTTGTGATTTCAATGTTGAATAAACCATGATACTGTAGAAATACAGAATGATTACACTGAGTATGTGGGATATTAATTATGATCGATCAAGAACAGTCTGTGATTTCTGTGGTGATTTAAACCTAATATTACATTCAATAATACAGAACTATTCGTTCTGATTGATCAAGGACAGTCTGTGATTTCTCCAAGGCTCTGATCATGATGTTACCTACAGTAATACAGAACTATGACACTGAGTTAGTGAATTGGCAGGGAGGAGAAGGAAAACCACAGCTGAAAAACAGAAACCTCTGGGGGTCCCAGATCTGAATGTTACCCCACCTCCAGTCACTGCGTTAGTGGGGCATTGATAATGATAGCTAATTAATGAACAGAGCAGCGTGATTTCTGTGTGGAGTTAATCATAGTATTACATACATTAATACTGAACTATAACACTGGGTTAGGGAGACATAAATCACGATTGATCAAGGACAGTCTGTGATTTCTGTGGGGATTAAACCCTGCTATTACATACAGTAAAACAGAACTATGACACTGAGTTAGTGGGACATTAATTAGAATTGATTAAGGACAGTCTGTGATTTCTGTGGTGATTTAACTATGATATTCTAGTAATACAGAACTGTGATATTGAGGTAGTGAGACATAAATTTTGATTGATCAAGGACAGTCTGTGATTTCTGTGGTGAGTTAACTATGATGAATGCAGAACTGTGATATTGAGGTAGTGAGACATAAATTTTGATTGATCAAGGACAGTCTGTGATTTCTGTGGTGAGTTAACTATGATGAATGCAGAACTGTGATATTGTGGTAGTGGGACATAAATTATGATTGATTAAGTACAGAATGTGATTTCTATGTCGATTCAGACATATTATATACAGTAATACATAACTATGACACTGAGTTAGTGAGACATTATGATCAACAAAGACAGTCTGTGATTTCTGTGTTGATTTAGACATTATCTTACATACAGTAATACAGAATTATGACACTAAGTGGGACATTACTGTATGATTGATCAAGGACAGTCTGTGATTTCTGTGTGCAATAAACCATTATATTGTAGTAATACAGAACTATGACACTGAGTTAGTGGGACATTAATTATGACTGATCAAGGACAATCTGTGATTTCTGTGGGATTTAACCCTGATATTACATTCAGTAACACAGAACTATTCATTATGATTGATCAAAGACAGTCTGTGAATTCTGTGGGGAGTAAACCATGATATTGTAGTAATACAGAACTGTGATATTGAGGTAGTGGGACATTAATTATGATCGATCAAATACAGTCTGTGATTTCTATGGGGATTTAACCCTGCTATCAAATACACTAATACAGAACTCTGACACTGAACTAGGGGGACATAAATTATGATTGATCAAGGATAGTCTGGGATCTCTGTGGGGATTCAACCCTGATATTACATACAGTAATACAGAACTATAACACTGAGTTAGTGGGGCATTAATTATGATTGATCAAGGACAGTCTGTGATTTCTGTGGGGAGTTAACTATGATGAATGCAGAACTGTGATATTGTGGTAGTGGGACATAAATTATGATTGATTAATTACAGTCTGTGATTTCTATGTCGATTCAGACATATTTCATACAGCAATACAGAACTATGACACCGAGTTAGTGAGACATTATGATCAACAAAGACAGCCTGTGATTTCTGTGGGGATTTAACCCTGATATCAAATATAGTGATAGAGAACTATAACACTGAGTTAGTAAGGTATTAATTATGATCAGTCAAGAACAGTGTGTGATCTCTGTGTGGAGTGAATTGATGTATTACATACAGTAATACAGAACTATAGCACTGAGTTAGTGATACAATAATTTAGACTAATCAAGGACAATCTGTGATTTCTGTGTGGGGGAAATCAAAGTATTACATACATTGATTATGATCAATCAAGGACAGTCTGTGATTTCTGTGTGGAGTAAATAAAAGTATTAGATTCAGTAATACAGAACTATGACATTGAATTAGTGAGACATTAATTATATTTGATCAAGGACAGTCTGTGATTTCTGTGGGGAGTAATCCATGATATCAGATACAGTAACACAGAGCTCTGACAGCAGTAACGATAAACCCAATAGGATGGTGCCACTCTGGATTTCTGTTTCAACTCAGTTTTCTAGGGATCATGAGATTTGTTCCTGTGT